AAGCCCTGCCACTTACTGAGCTCTGGTGGCCTTAAACAAGGCACCTGGCTTCCCTGAACCTCTGTCTTTTTCTTGAAGTTGGCCCTCAAGATGCACACCCTGTCCATAGAAGGTCCCTGCAATCAGGCTTTTGAGGGTGTGTAGGCGCTGAGCACCTGGCAGAGCATGTTCTGTTCCAGCCCCCACCCCGTGGATGCTGGGAGCATGCAGCTCCGCCCCAGAGCCCTGGATCCTGAGCCCCAGCCTCCTGGGTACTCTGAGTTCTGGGGACTTGCCCTGGGCCAGCCCTAGCCAGCACGTGCCCCACTGGTCACAGGCTGCCTCTGCAGCTCCCATCCAGCTTGGCAGTGCCACACACTTCCTGCTGTGTGGTCTCCTCTGGGCTCCGTGGGCGCTGTACTCTGGGTTCTGTGCTGCTGGTAGGGAGGAGTCCAGTTTGGTGACATTTCTTGTCAGGCTGTTTGAATACAGGCATCTTTCTGGGAAGAAGTCAGTTGGTGGATCTTGGTGTGCGCTTACCCACGACCTAACCCAATAACAGGGCGGATCCTTTTGTGAGATAAGACCCAGGTGCCAGGTGCCCTCAGGCATGTTTCTCAGGATGGGCCCACCATTTGAGGATGCCCACACCACACAGCACTGCACTGCTGAGGCTATTACTAGGTGGGACCACAGTGGACGCTCACCGGTGAGCTTTGTGGCCAGAGTGGGGCAGGGCCCCTCCCGGGGTAGGTTGGATTCTGGTGGCTGTGACCATGGCTGGATGGGGCAGAGCTGGCCCTGCCAGCTGGGTCCTGAGCACAGCTCCTGAGTGTTCAGAGTCTGAAAGTACAGATTGTACCTGGAAGGCTCTACTTTGTTTTTCTGGGTAATAGAAGATCTTGTTGTTCCAAAGATAAGCACCTGGGCCTGTGAGAAGCCATGTGCTCAATTTTCAGGAGGATGAGGATCTGAAGGGACCGATTCCTTCTCTCAGGAGGAACAACTTGGCGCTGTTGGTGATGAACCTGAGCATCAGGCAGCTGCACGGGTCTTCATCCCAGAGATGTTCATTAGTGGAAGATGCAGGCAGTGCTTATCTGGTCTGGGGCCTCCCTGAGGGGCCAGTGCACCCTGGCTGTGGCCGCATCAGGTTCTCTCTCAAAAGTTAAAAGTGCACTAGTTTCATGCAGCTGCCCCTGTCAGACCCAGCAACGCGGAGGATTTTCCTGAGATAGCACAGCCTGGGATCTGAGCATATCCCAAGTGCTCAAGGTGGCGTATGGCCACACTGAGGGCCTGTCCCCCAAGCCTGGCTGCTCCTCAAACGAGAAGGAAGACTGCCGCCCGGCTCTCGTGGCACCTCTTTGATGCTTACCTCAGGACACTCTGTCCTCATGGGGCCGGCCTGTTTGAGGGGTGACCTGGCTCTCTGGGGTGGTTGGCTTGTTCAGACATTCCTAGAAGCCTCTGGGATGTCTCTGGAGCCCTTGGTGGGTTTTTGTGGGGAATGTTAACCCATGTGGGCATTGGCTGAGAAGCAGTTACTCCTTTCTCAGGGGGCCTCCTTGTGGGTAGCGGGTCTGAATGGCAGGGTCTATCCGCACAGGGCCTTCATGTTCCTGAGTGATTAGGATTTGCTCCCCATGTGGTGGTGGAAGCATCAGAGGTGTCAGCATGGCCTATACCTGGTGGTGGAGGCCAGCATCTTGGCAGCATCTTTGATGGGCTTCAGAGATGCATGTGGGTGAGTTGGCAGGCAGGACTTGATGCCTACGTTTGTGGCCAGGAAGGTCACATGCCTGAGGCCCTGATGTGGCAGCTCCCAGGTTGCAGGTTCAAACTGTGTATGGGAAGAGGACCTAAGAGCACCCTTGGAGGGAGTACTGGCTGGGGGCCACAGATCATGCCTTGAAGGGTGCCAGATTCTCTCCGCAGCGTCTTTTATGTTTCTGTGATCTGTGCCCCTGTCTCCTGGGACAGAGGTTTGGGTGCTTTGCAGAGGGTGCAGTGGACAGATGATGAGACAGGACAGTGAGAGCCAACTCTGGTGCTGAGCTGTGAATCATACAGGCGGCTGACGGGACACAGGGGCCCCGAGAAAGGGCGTAGTTTCTGATTCAGAGACAGTCTCCTTTCTCAGAACCCCCTGGGTCTCTGAGGGCCTCAGGGGCAGCCTTGGTGAGTGTGGCTGACCACTGGAGGTGGGACAGCTGGTCCTTCTGGATCCTGAGCATGTGCCTCAGGAGCTTGGCAAGCTACCATCTCCTCCTGACCTGAGTCCTATCCATGGTGGACAATCCCAGGACCACACCCCCGCTCTGGGTCACAGCGCATGTCTTGGGTGGATCTGTTGTACCAGACTGTTAGAAACAGGGCTGGGCGGCCTGAGGACGAGGTGCTCAGCAGCTTCTCTCTTCCTGCCCCTGTTGAGCCAGAGTCTGACACTGCCCTTGGAGCCCTGAGCTAAGCTTCACACAGAATCCCCTCCCCAGATTCCTTCCCAGGTCACAGGGCTCCCACCCCAGGTGTAGCCCCTCTGCAGAGGAGGTAGCCTGGGGGTGTTTGTGCTGTGGGGCTTGTTGCTTCCTGCCAAAGTCAGCTGGGGGCAGACATGCTTTCAGGGAGAAATAGTGGCTGAGGGGCTTTGAAGTGCATCGAGGAGAGTGCCTTACTGTTTCCAGTGACTGTGAATGTGGCATGAATTTGGGCAAGGGACACCCTCCACCTCCCTCAACCACCAGGCCTCATGGAGTACCCTGGGCTGGGCCTGAATCTTGCCTCTAAGATGAGCCTTCCCTGGGTTGGGGGTCAGTCCTGGTGTCCTTGGTCTCCCTGGCCCTGGGAGGAGATGGGCTCCTGTAGTGGAGTGTTAGCCGTTTTCAGGGCAGAGGCGGAGGCAGCTGGAGAGCATGGGTGTGCTGGGGCTCGGCAGAAGAGGCCAGTCTGCTCTGTGGTGAGGCTGAGGACAGGCAGCCTTGGGAGCGTAGCAGAGAGGTAGCACTCTAACAGCAGTTGGCTTGGAGGGCCCAAAAGTGAGGTGGACTGAGAGACTGATGGGTGGAGGGCACACCCATGGCCTTGTCTGCAGGAGAGTTGAGATGGAGGCCTGGAGGGGCCTCCTGGGCTCCAGATAGTCCCATGGAGGGGAGTGGGGTAAGAGGCCTCCTAGCTGCCCAAGCAGAAAGCACAGTGGCAAGACAGAGCTGCATTCTCAGGGACCCAACCCCCACCGAGGCCTGGCCTGGGCTTTGACAAGGGGATGGCCCATGGCAGGCCCTAGAGCTTTCTCATTCACCTTGAAAATGTCAGGAACCCAGGGCTAGGAAAGGCCCATGCTGTGCCTTGTAGGACCCCGGTGACCTAGGTTAGTCCCCTAGCTTCTTCCATTGTCAGATGTGATCAGATCATGGTCACTGCTGTCTGGAGGAGAGCAGGAGTGGTCTGGTGCCGCAGACGTTGGGCAGAGGCCAGGTTTGCTGAGAGGGCCGCTTCTTGAAGACCTTGCGTTTTAAGTGTCTAGGTGCAGAGCTGAGTTCAGTACCTGTTTTTGGTGAGTTTTAGTGAGTGATTAAAAAGAAAAACCCCACCAAATACTTGTACTCTTCTTGAGGAGCGCACGGCTAAAGTTGTGAAGCCTCCTGTGCTTCCTTGTCCCCCACCCTTTTTTTTGAGACAGCGTCTCATTCTGTCACCCAAGCTGGAGTGCAGTGGCATGATCGCGGCTCGCTGCAACCTCTGCTGCCCAGGTTCAAATGATTCTTCTGCCTTAGCCTCCAGAGTTGCTGGGATTGCAAGGGCATGCTACCACGCCCGGCCAATTTTTATATTTTTAGTAGAGACGGTGTTTCACTACGTTGGCCAGGCTGGTCTTGAACTCCTGACTTTGTGATCCCCCTGCCTCAGCCTCCCAAAGTGCTGGGATTACAGGCATGAGCTACCGAGTCCGATCTTGCTTTGTTTCGAAGACGGGCTCTTGCTCTGTCAACCCTGCCGGAGTGCAGAGGTGGAGCCATGGCTCACTGCAGCCTCCATCACCCAGGCTTAGGTGATCCTCCTGGCTCAGCACCTGAGTACCTGGGACCACAGGTGTGTACTACCACACCTGGCTAAAAAAAAAAAAACCAAAACCGATTCTCATTCTGTTGCCCAGGCTGGAGTGCGTGATCTTAGCTCACTGCAACCTCCCCCTCCCAGGTTGAAGCGATTTTCCAGCCTCAACCTCCCAGGTAGCTGAGATTTCAGGTGCCCGCCACCACCCCTGGCTAAATTTTGTATTTCTGGTAGGGACTGGCTGGTCTCAAACTCCTAAATTCAAGTGATACACCTGCCTTGGCCTCCGAAAGTATTGGGATTATAGGCATGAACCACCGTGGTGCCTGGCTGCCAAAGGGGATTCTGTGCCCATCACATTGGCACTTGCAGGTTTGCTCTGTTTCAGACACTGTGGAGTGTGCTGGAGGGGACAGAGGGGCCTGACACTGTGGTCCAGGTGCCCCTGGGGTGTGTGGCAGGTGCCCATGTATGATAGCTTCTTTTCCTGTTTGAAGAAAGGCAGATGCAAAAGGTGGAATAATGAAGGGGAAAGGCAAAGTTAAGGAAAGTGTTGACTAGAGGGCTTGGGCCAGGCGTGGGTGCATGGCTCTGAGATGTACTCTCCTGGAAGCAGGCCTGGGCCGTGCCTGGAGCATGACCCATGGAGGTGCAGGCAGGGTGGGCAGGGCACGCAGGGCAGGCAGGGCACTCTTCCCTCCCTTGGAGGGAGACTTCTCTCTGACTGATGAAGCAGGGCACAGGAGCATAGAAGCACTATAACTTGAAGAATTGCATAGTAAATGTTGGTCGTATCCTGCTTCCCTGGGGTCATGTGAGTTTGGATAAATTGTGAAAGCCTCATGGGGACCCCAGAGCTCGGTTTTCCTGTGAGGTTGGGATGAGGTCTGCTGTGACCTCAGGCAGCCCTGCATTTTCCTCAGTTGTGACAACTGGAACCCAATCCTGTGCAGTTTAGGACGGGAGTGGGTTAGTGATGGTGGCTGGCTGTCCGTGGTACCACGAGTCCTCGCTTGTGATTTGGCTGTAATTTCTATGGACAGGCTGTGCTCAGGGAGTCCAAGCAGCTCCCCCACCCCCAACCATGACACAGGAATGGACAGACAGCTGAGGGGCCTCCCATGATGACAGAGGCTGCTTTCCGCTCACCTGCTGAGTGCCTTCTGGAAGAAGGACTTGGACGGTGTCCAAAAACCCTGCACTGCAACTGCCAGGTGGGCGGTGGCATCCGGGGACTATCCAGGGAGCATCTGTGGTCATGATCTGGAGTGCATGCAGATGAAGGAATCTAAGAGACCCTTCACTGGTGACGGTGGTGGCTGGGGGTGTACGCAGTAGTTACCCAGAGCTGCTTGTTTGGAAGGAGAGAGGGGAGTTGGTAAAGAATGGCAGTTTGGAGGATTTTCCTAAAATAGAGCTATTTAAAAAAAGATGGGAGTGTGATGGCTCACGCTTGGAATCCCAGCACTTTGAGAAGTTGAGGCGAGAGGATCACTTGAGCCCAGAAGTTTGAGACCAGCCTGGGCAACATAGGGAGACCCTCATCTCTACAAAAGAGTTAAAAAAAAAAAATGTGGCCAGGCATGGTGGCACAGGCCTGTAGTCCCAGCTATTTGAGGTGAGGTTGGGAGGATTGCTTGACCCCAGGAGACTATGGCCGCAGTGAGCCATGATCGTGCCACTGCCCACTCCCTGGGCAACAGAGTGAGGCCCTGTCTCAAAAACAGAACAAAACAAAAAGATAGGAGGAACTAAGACACAAAATGAAGACCAACCCATAAAAGAAAAAATTGGAAAATTCTACTTCATCGAAATTAAGAACTTTTGTATTTTGAGAGATACTGTTAAGAGAATGGAAAGACAGGCGGGGCACAGTTGCTCACCCCTGTGATCCCAGCACTTTGGGAGGCCAAGACAGGCAGATAACTTGAGGTCAGGAGTTTAAGACCAGCCTGGCCAACATGGTGAAAACCTGTCTCTACTCAAAATACAAAACCTAGCTGGGCGTGGTGGCACACACCTGTAGAGTCCCAGCTACTTGGGAGGCTGAGGCAGGAGAATCACATGAACTCAGGAGGCAGAGGTTGCAGTGAGCCAAGATCGCACTACTGTACTCCAGCCTGGGCAACAGTGAGACAATGTCAAAAAAAAAAAAAAAAAAAAAAAAAAAAAAAAAAAAAAAAACCAAAAAAAAAAAAAAAAAAAAAAAAAAAAAAAAAGAGTGGAAAGACAAGCCATGGACTAGGAGAAAATAAAGAACCCTCAAAACTCAATAAGAAGATGACCCAGTTTTTTTTTTCTTTGGCTGGACTTGGTGGTTCACGCCTGTAATCTCAGCACTATGGGAGGCCGAGGTGGGTGGATCGCCTGAGGTCAAGAGTTTGAGACCAGCCTGGCCAACACGGCAAAAACCTGTCTCTACTAAAAATACAAAAATTAGCCAGGTGTGCTGGTGCCGTCTGTAATCCCAGCTAGTTGGGAGGCTGAGACAGGAGAATCGCTTGAACCCAGGAGGCAGAGGTTGTGGTGAGCCGAGATTGCACCACTGCAGTCCATCCTGGGCGGCAGAGCGAGACTCCTCATCTCCATAAAGCAGAAAATGACCCAGTTTTTAAAAATGGGGTAAAGAGTTGGACAGCTTCACCACTAAAGCTAGAAGAATGGCACGTTAGCCTGTAAAAAGATGCTCAACGTGCCTAATCAGCAGGGAAACCCCAACACGAATGTCTGTGAGCTGTCACCACACCACATACCAACCAGGATGGCTGACATTTTAAAGACGCCGACAGCACTAAATGTTGACGTGGATGGGGAGCAACAGGAGCTGTCATCCATTGCTGGTGGCAGTACAAAATGGTACAGCCACTTTGGGAGCCAGCCTGGCAGTTTCATACTAAATTAAATGGACACCTACTCCGTGGCCCAGCAGTTAGGCTCCTGGGTGTTCACCAAGTGAAATGAAAACACATTCATGCAAAAACCTGTCCGTGAGTGGTTATAGCTGCTTGATTCATTAATTCTCCAAACTGGAAACAACCTGTGTCCTTCATCCTGCAAGTGGTTGCACGGAAGGTGGCGTATTTATAGAGCAGGGCAGCACACAGGATGGCTCTCAAAGGCGTGATGCTGAGTAGGTGGCTGGCTGAATCATGGCCACAGCAGATTCCAGGAACCTGTGAGTGTAACCTTCTGCGGAAAAACGGCCTTTGCCGATGAGATTAAGTTGAGATGGGGAGGTTACCCTGCATTATCTGCATGGGCTCTGTTTGTTATCACAAGTGTCCTGGTAAGAGAGGGACAGATTTGATGCACACAGGAGAGGACTTGAAGGCCACATGACCCCAGGGATAGAGATTAGGGTGATGGAGCCACAAGCCAGGGAGTGCCTGGATCCCCCAGCAGGTGAAGAGGCCAGGAAAGGTCCTCCTCCCCTAGAGCTCCCAAAAGGAGGGAGCCTGCTGACACTTGGATTTCAGACTTCTGGCCCCCAATCCGTGAGAGAGCCAATTTCGGTTGTTTTAAGCCACCAAAACATCGTCATTTGTTGCAAGGACCAAGGGAAACAACTCCTGCATGATTCCATTGATAAGACTTTCTGGAAAGGCAAAACCGTAGGGGCAGAAAACAGATCCAAGATTGCTGGGGTTGTAGGGAGAGTCAGGCTCTGAGCAGGGATGTGGGACACTGGGCAGAAGGCAAGGTGGCCTGCTCAGCATCCTCACCTGGGAAAAGCAAGCAAGGTGCTTGGAAGGTGTGGATGCCACAGTTTTGGGCAATCTACTCTTTTTGTCTACAAGATTTCTGAAAACACCTTTCCCATAAACTTTCTGTGCACCTTTGTGAATGTAGATGGAAATACCTGTTGTGGGCTGGGCATAGTGGCTTCTCACCTATAATCCTGGCAGTTGGGGAGGCCAAGTCTGTTGAGTTGCTTGAACCCAGGAGTTCAAGTCCAGCCTGGACAATGTGACGAAACCCCATCTCTACGAAAATAGAAAAATTAGCCGGGGGTGGTAGTGTGCACCTGTGGTCCCAGCTACTCAGGAGCTGAGGCGGGAGGATAATCTGAGCCCAGAAGGTTGAGGCTGCAGTGAGCCGTGTTTGTACCGCTGTACTCCAGCCTGGGCGACAGAGTCAGAGTTTGTCTCCAACAAGAAAGAAAGAAAGAAAAAAAAAACTTGCTGTGTCGGCTGCTGAATTACACTTGGCTTGTGGCCAGTTGGAGTCCCTTTCCTGCTCTTACAGGCCCACCCGGCCTGCTGAGTACATCACTGTCCTCCCAGGCTGGCAGAGGAGCTTCTGTGAGTCCTGGCCCCTCCCCTGCCCTGACCGTGGCTGCCTGGCTCCCTAGGCTTCAACCAGTGAGGGCCATGGTGTATTTGTTCAAGTTCCCTAGCTTGTCCCTGAGCCAGCCAAGTCCACTAGGCGGATCGTCCTTTGTTTTGTAGTTCACAGAGACAGCCCCACTCAGTCACTTTCTAAACTCTCCATGGCCTCAGTGTCCTGCTCCAGTCCTGCCAGGAAGCCTCAGGGAGGATTCCTGAATAGCCTTTCCCAATCATTTGTGTTTTACTGGAAAGGGGGGCCCATTGTGGGGAGGTCACTGGCAGGGCTCTTCCCGGGACTTCATGGCTTGGCAGGGTGACCCAGTTCTGTAAGATCAGGGCATGTGCGCTGACGCTGGTGCTTGGGAGAGTCAGCAAGATGGACTTCTGAAGAAGGAACAGATGCCTTCCTTTCCATCATTTCCTGTATCAGGGGTGGGGTGGCAGGCCTTGCTCAGTAGACAGCAAGGAGAACGTGCTGCCTGGGCAGAGTGGGCACTCCTGCTGAGTGGGTGCTTCTGGAGGGTGGGGGGAAGGATTGTGTGTCCTTGGGGTAGCCTTGGCACCCACTGCCTTGGGCCTCATTATCCCCAGGCCGGTAGCAGGTGTCCTGGGTCCTGGCCAGATTAGGCCCTGTCCATCCGTGTGTCTCCTGTCTTTGCTGTGCCCTCTCCCTAGTTTTTGTCTTTGGTGGAGTGTTTTTAAAACAATCCAAGATATCTTCTTCTTTTATTTTGTTTTATTTTTTTTTGAGATTGAGTCTCACTCTGTCACCCAGGCTGGAATGCAGTGGCGCAGTCTCGGCTCACTGCAACCTCTGCCTCCTGTGTTCAAACAATTATTCTGCCTCAGCCTCTCGAATAACTGGGATTACAGGCATATGCCACCACGCCTGGCTAATTTTTTTTATTTTTAGTAGAGATGGAGTATTGCCATGTTGGTCAGGCTGGTCTTGAACTCCTAACCTCAAGCAATCCACCTGCCTTGGCCTCCCAAAGTGCTGGGATTACAGGCATGAGCCACCACAGCTGGCCAACAATCCTTGATATCTTCTTCACTCATAACTTTTCCAATGACAGTATTTATTGGCAGCAGATAAAGACTTGCTTTTTAAAAAATGTAATGTGGGTGCAGCGTGCACATCTGACCCAGTTAGCAGCAGCCCCAGTGGCGTCATGGCAGGCTCCCTGCACCCCTGCCTCTGCCTGACTTTGCCCACAGCGGCTGGTCAAGTTGGGATCCACACACATCTTGTGCCAGTGGTAATTTATACCCTCCATCCTTTCCCCCTCATGCCATTTATATCTGTTGATGGGAGCAGGTCTTTTTTCCCGTAGATTTTTTTGCTTTCTGCTCTGATGGTCGCTTCCTGTGGCAGGGTCAGCCTGGGTCTTCTCTGCCCCTGCACTGCTTGACATTTGGGGCAGGAGGTTCCGTGTTGCCTGCAGTGCGCTGAGCAGCAGCCCTGGCCTCCCCTGCACCAGATGCTGGGGGCTCTCCCGGTCCCCAGTGGTGAGGACCAGAAATGGCTCCAGACCTTGCCTCGTGCCCGGGGAAGATTCACCCACCACACTTCCTGTAAACTGGTCACTAGGCCTGGAGGTTTTCGTAACACTAGGATTTTGTAAGCCACTTCCTGTTGCTTCATCCCCGGAAGTGCTCTTTGCTGGAGGGGAGAGGATCAGGGGATTCTCTAGCCCTGGAAAGGTTCCTCCTCACCCTTTCCCCTGTCTCAGCTGCAGGGCTCTCGCCGCCTCCCATCCCCAAGCCCCTGATGTTGTCAATGCCCTGTGCCCTCCCCCTTCCTCCGGAAGGCATCATTGCTGTCTTTATGGGAGTGGCCTAATTGCGGGGGAGCTGCCTGCGGGAGTCTCTCGGTCTGTGCTTAG